TATAATATATAAAATAAATATATGTATATATAAAAAATATATATTTTTGTCAATACAATCATAATTAAAATAAAATATATAAATAATAAAAATTATAATAAAAATATTTTTTTTCCTAAATACTTATTATAAATAAATATCATAAAAATACACATTTTTCTAATAAATATTATACAAAATTTTTTGCAAATATTTATTATTATTTAAAATATTCATAATTATTAAAAGTTTCTAAATTATCTTTTAAAACACTAGTGGAAAAAATACTTTTAAGATCGGTCATTTTTAAGTTTTAAGATCGGATAGGACTAAGGGTAGGGAGAATAGAAATTTTTTTTAGTACTTTTGTCACAAAGCGATGATCCATAATTAGTCACAATAGTTTGACAAAAACTTATCCAGAATTAACCCGAATACTTGGTATGACACAAATTTATATATTTTATAAGAAAAACCATACCAAAACCTTCACTGTTAGTTACATATATTGTCACAATTACATTTTTATAAGTTTAAGGTAGTTATTGGAAGTGTTAGAAGTCTTATGGGGAACCACACTCGAATTATGATATTGCGAGAGAGCTTTGTTTGAGTTTTCTACTACTTTTCTTAATTTTCTTTGTAATTACTTATTGTTTTCATGACTAAGAGCATTTAAATTCTATTTTGCTGGGACTAGTTGCAATTACTGAATCTTATGTAATCATGTTCATATATTAAGTTATATTTATGCCGTTATCACAGTGATTATTTATGTTATTAATTGTTTTATGGTTTGATTGCTCACACCTAAAATGATAATTGACTAAAATGATATTGAAAAATTAATTATAAGTCTAGGACCGAAGTAAACATATAAAAGTCTTGATTAATAGAAATAAAGTTTATTTTAGTCATCTTAAGACTTTTGTTCTAGTGCAAGTTATTTATTCAAGTGTTGCAGGAATTAAAGTTTAATTATGTGGACTGTGTTGTGCAGGGGAGGGGTTCTTATTTCATTCGTCCTTCTAAATATTTTAATTACAACATTTTAATGCACGATTGTAGGAGAAAAAATTGCTAATGTTAAAATAAAAGAATACGCTTTTCTAGTAGTGCCCAACAGGTCTCATAATGTGTTAACTCAAACTAATTTAATTTGTTTGTATATAGGTTAAGTAATGAGTTTTAATTTTTAAATTTAATAT